TCATGGGCCTGCTCTTCGCCAGGACGATGGCCTGGACCTCCAGCGGGAAGACGCACCCGGAGCTGGTCAACAACCTCTACAGTGAGTACCAGCGCCGCACCTGCAGCAGCCTCTGCCGGCTGCTCGGCGCAGGGCTGCTGGCCTCGTACGGTGTGACTGTGTTTGTCCCGAAACGCTGGAGTTCATATCGCCTGAATTTCAGCATTTAGAATCATGGAGTTGTTAGGCTGGAAGAGACGTTTAAGCTCATCGAGTCCAATCCTCAACCCAGCCCTGCCAGGTCCCCACTGCCCCGTGTCCCTCACCCCACACCTCCAGCCTGGAAACCCCTCCGGGGTGGGGACTCCACCACTGCCCTGGGCAGCCTGGCACAGCCCTGGGCAACCCTCCAGGGCAAGAAATTGTTCCTCAGGGGCAACTGAAACCTCCCCTGGGGCAACTTGAAGCTGTTGCCTCTTGTCCTGTCCCTTCTTCCTTGGAAGAAACCAGCCCCCACCTGTGTGAACATTGCTGCAGTCATTGCTCTGAACTTCAGTTTACTCACTGGGCCAGTGCTCCTGAAATCTGAACCAGAGTCTCCTCTTTCAGGAGTGAAAGTGTGACTCGATTTATCTTTCATTGCACCTGGCAGCCCCAGAGACATTGTGGGTTTGAGTGACTCTCCTCTGAGACTGGGCAGAGGGTTGGGGCTGTAAGGAGATTCCATTCCAGGCAGCAGAAACTGAGAAGGTTGTTCTTCCATCTGTGCATTTGTTTTCTGTCCCTGCTCAGGTCACTTATTGAGTTGAATTCTCCCCGTTTCACTAACACCCTGCTCCATCCCCAGCCCTTCTAAATCTCTTCGTGCTACAGTCCTGAGGATTTAAGTCCTTTCTGTTCTCATTCTCCTCCCAGAAAAAGGGATAATTAAATCCCAGCGAGTCTTCGACGTGCTGCTGGCTACTGACAGGGGCCATTACATCAAATACTTCCCCTACATGGACTCCCCTCAGTCCATCGGTGAGTACCCCCAGGCAGAGCAGAGTGGGCTGTGTCCTGCTGAGGGGCAGGGCTGGCTCTGGCTCTCCGTGGCAGCCACCCGCCCCCCGGACCCCCCGTGCCAGCCACTCGCCCCCGGGACAGGTCCCAGAGAGTGCCCCCCACCCACCCCTCAGCCCCGGGCTGGCAGGACCCCGGGGAAGGGGCAGAACTGGCTCTGCTGCCCCTGGCCTGCACTGGTGGCTCCGGGTGCTGCGGGAGCTGCAGCCACCCAGCCTGGTCAGCAGCCCTGGGGGGGAGATGGGAACTCAGGGAAGGTCTTTAGCACAGCAACAGAGGAGAGAGTTTCTGTGGGTTTAGGGGAGATGGGGGATTGTAAAGAACTGTTGCCATGGGTAATTTTAATCATTGTTTCCTTATCATGTGACTTTTGTCACTCGTTTCCTTGCAGGGTACAAGGCTACAATCAGTGCCCCACATATGGTAAGGTGAAAGTTCTAACACAGAATCATAGAGTCATTAAGGTTGGAAAAGACCTCTAAGATCATTAAGACACACTCTCAACACAA